TCATGTAGCAAGCGGGCATGAATATGGGACAGGGTCTTTTCCTGTTGAGGTTGGAATGTGGGACAGGGTTTCTTTCTGTTGGGTGTTGGACTAGTGACTCACTTGCGTCTTTCCAGGTGATCCATACCTATTTAGAATGTCAATCTCAGGTGCTATGCTTTTGGCATTTGTTTGGCATTTAGGTCTGGTTCACAGCAGGAGCATCCGCCCCTCCCACAGTTGTAAGGCCTCTTCTGTGCTATCTCCTTCAGGGGCCTGGCCCTGTCTGACTGCCTATAATATTTCTATCTAACTCGGCTGTCTGCATTATTCCCCCCTCTGAAAAGGGAACCTGAACTGCCGTGAAGGGAAATATGGGCGAAGACCACTCTGTCTTCTTCACACTGAAATGGGTCATTGTTGTTGACTGGCAGTCAGATATGTTCTTCAGAGGTTTTAGCTAAAGGCCCTCGATAGACGACAGGCATTTTTCTCTTGGGTAGACATATAGCTTTAAGTCTGGAGGAGACAAAGCCAAAGAAACAAGTCAAATAATCACAACAGGATAATTATGAAAAAGATGAGTTAGAACTTTTTGTAGGTCCATTAGCAAATATCTCTTAAATGTGAGGTTTAATCCCTTTTATCTTTTATGGTCATTGTATATTGTCTCAAACAAACTGGTCTTTTATATTTCACCAACTCTATTATTTCTTGGGGCACATGAATTGCCAGAAATAGGGAAAACACTGAGTACTCTAGTTTGTATGTGGGGTCACTGGCTGGGTAACTACCTGTGGGGGACCACTGGAGCAGCTCTGCTTGAAAGAAGACTGACTATCTCCATTTTGACTGAACATAACCTTATTTTCTATGTATAGAGCTGGCTAGGACTTCTATTTATCAATTGGCCTTAGGTAAATATAGGCCACCCACCTAGCTCAACTCACAATGATCACCTACTTCCCACAATTCTCAGTCAATCCTCCTCAAGCCACTACCCAATGAATAAAAACCGAATGAGGACCTGGATTGCTCTCTCGGTTCAAGAAAGCCATTTTTGTGGCTGGACTTAGAGCCCCTTGACTCCCCCATGATTGAACATATAATTGAGTGTCTTTATTTTCACTGTGGGTTGCATTTAAAGTGGTAGACTGTAATCAACTTGATGGGATTCCAATAATGTAACTTTGGGATTACAAATATTAGCTTCTTGGATGGAGGTGAAGATCTGGAAGTATACAACCTCCAACTCAGTTTTGTTTACATTTTTAAAAATATACTCAGACCTTTGCACATCCCTAGCAAGGCAGGATCATAAAAAAACAAAGCTGATTGTCATTTTCATTTATATTTCAAAAAGCCCAATTGAATAATGGTAATTTTCTGCCATTTGCTAATGAAAAAGTCTGTGGTTGTCTCCTGTGTTTTAGGAGCTGTAAGCATGTGTTACCATACCCACACAACCGTGATAGCCTCCAACACTGCCATTTGATTATATAAGACAGTGTATCCATGATAGAATGGATGCTAGGGCACTATATAGAGATGGAGGTGTGTAATAGTTTCTAATGCAAGGGGCACTGGTGGGATCCAGCCCTGTATACCCTATTGTCTGATGCCTAGGGCCATGGAGCAGGGGTTTCTGTGGCCATCCATTGCTTGGCATTGGAAAGGGTCCCTGCCATTGCCTGTCTGGATGGGAAATATACTTTTTTTAATTTTACATTATGGATAAACAAATAGCAATAAGACAGTTTCAAAAGTGATTAATAGGACAGTTTCAATAATTAGTACATTGTACATTGTTATCATCTTAGTGGTTATCCATAGTACAAGATGCAGACAGAATATCCTGTCCAAACACTGTTACTACAAATCTTTCTTCTCATTGAATTAAGGGAAAGTAGCTGTATATCGATCCTAACTATTCTGCATATATAGATACAAAATGGTCCTTCTTTTGGATGCCCTTCTTTTGTTTAGTCCTTTCAGAAATGAGTATTCCATTGGCATCTAAATACTATAGGTACATTAATTCAGCAAAACAATCCAACATAGTCCAGCAGTCTACAATAGTAGTGGGTTATCCACAGAAGTTGTTGACTTGAGCCTTTCACAGCTCAGCATATTAATATGGCTTTACTTTATATATCTTGTTTTTATACCTTTCTGCTGGATGGTTAAGACCAAGATAAAGCAAGACCTGTATAACAAGAAATGTAACTTTTGTATCTGATATAGTCAGTCAAGTACCATCAGGATTTATCCTGTAACCCTGTGCAGCAGTTTACAGATCCTTTGTCAGTGTCAGCCATGTGGATGAGTCACGGCCATTGCTTGACCAATTTCCTCTCTGTGAAAGCCTGAGAGAATGTTTTCTCTCCAGGTGACTCTCCTTAGGTACACTCTATGTCATGGATCACGTTGCTTTGTGGCTCCATAATCTCCTTGATCAGAAAATTTGGGACACACTGAGTTACGTGATATTATAGTACAGGTTCTTCTCTATCCTGAGTCTTCATTGACCTTGAAAGGCTATGGTCAATATATTGGCTGTCCTTGAAGCCCATCTATTTCTCTGATTTTTGGTTTGCAAATATAGGTTGTTAACCCTCCAGAAGAGAAGCTTATTATTACCCTACATCTTATGCAGTTGGATTTAACTTCACTATCTGTCTGAATATCAAACATTTTAGGCATAACATGGAACAGGTATTTTCCATCAAGTATTGATATGTTAAACATTAAGTACCTACAGAATATGGAGATAGAAATTTTAAAAAATGAAAAATATTTAAAGAATATGACTATATGCCCCCATACCTCAGAAAAAAGCAGGGGTAGCAATCCTGTTTTCAGACACTCTCAACCTCAAACCAAGAATGATCAAATAAAAAAAGAAGGCCACTATATACTGGTTAGGGGAAAAATTCAAGAGGAAGAGGTAAGAATCATAAATATCTATGCACCAAACACGGGAGCACCCAACTATATAAGACAAATCTTAATGGACATGAAAAATATAATATCCAACACCACAGTCTTAACAGGAGACCTTAATACCCCTTATTCCAAAAAGATAGGTCAACCAGACAAAAAATTAGCAAACAAGTAGCAGAACTGAACCAGAGCTGGGAACAAATGGACTTGGTGGGCATATACAGAGTGTTCCACCCAACCACAACTGAATACAGATTTTTTTTTTAGCTGTACATGGGTCATTTTCTAAAATAGACCACATACTAGTCCATAGGTCATGCATAGGTATATGGAAGAAAACATAAATTATCTCATGCATCTTATCTGACCACAATGCAATGAAACTAGAAATAAATGACAAAAGAAAGCAGAAAAAAAACCTAAATATATGAAATCTGCTTTAGGCTGAATCCAGCTCTCCTGATCTAGCCTGGATCTAGTCTCTGTAGTTTGTGGAGCTCTAGGAGTCGAGATAGCACATTGCTATTTGGAACCCACTGACCTGCCTGACTCTCTTGTCTAGTTAGGTATCTGTGAAAGGTAATAGGAGGAGCAGAACTCTTTTTTAAAAACTTTTGTTGCACAGCATCCCCTATAAGAATCTGTAGATGTCAAAGTGGATTTGTGGGTTGTTTTTGCTTGTTTGTATGTTTTTAAAGTCTTTATATCTAACTGGTCCCTCCCAAAACACATCTGGAAGTGTAGAATGACTGCTTTGTAAATACTCTGTTATCTGGGGAGTTGAATTTTCTTTTAAATGCTGTGGACTGAAGCCTCTTTTTTGTATGTTTCTGTTTTCTCTCTATCTAAGGCTGGAACTTTTGGCTCTGAGCTTTAATCCTCTGAGCTAATTGGCCAGCCTTCTGCCTTTTATTTTCAGTTATCTATATCTAAATTACCTGATGAAGTTTTAATTTATATATGAGCCTGAGTTAGACTTTAATAAGCTTTAAAGCATCTGGTCCTCAGATGACCTATTCTTTTCCATGTTTTATTCTGAGTAGAACTTATTCATTCAGGCATTAAAGCCACACTCTAGGATTTAGGTCCGTGCTTCAGTAATGGTTATTGGATACTTTGCTTAGTCCCCAATCTCCTAAAGGATGTTATGATGAAGAATTAAAAGATGACAAGTAATATGATTTTATGGGGAATGCAGGAAGGTTATAATGTTTTCTAGGAGCTAAGACAAAGAATCTTGTTGATAACCCATATTTAATGGGTTTCTATAGTTTTGAGGGTTCAGAAAGTGGAACACACAACTGAAACAAAAGCCTGTGAAAATGAGCAGGGCTTTGAGAATTACTGCAAAGGCAGAATATTTTGATAACTAAGATCAAACTAATATTTTTGATCTTTACTATTGACAGACTGTCTTTTGAATTATTTGAAAAAGATTTAGTGGCCCCACAGTTGCAGTATTATCTTGTCTTCAGGGGCTGAAAATATGAGCTTTGTCAACACGGTGAGTGGTGCCTGTGTTCAACAACTTAAGTTTTTCACTGTCTGGTTCCAATTTATGTCTACTGTGTGAAATTAGAGAGTAGAGATTTATGTTCAAGTAAACAAATGCAATAATTCCAGCTGGTCAAGGCTGTGATCCAGTGATGGATGTCTCAATCACAGCCTGTGACACTAACTCTGAAGCATGTTTTCTCTCTTCCCATCTGGCCTGATATCAAGACCTTAGAGCCTTGTCTTAGTTCAGAACCAGATCTAGCATGTTCTGATCCAGAGTTTTCTATGCCTTCTCCTGCAGGACAAAGACCAAAGAGTTGTCCAAACTCCACCCACTGCACAGGTACCTCAGCCTCCCTTTCTTCTCCATGACTCTCAGGGGCTCCTTCCCTCTTCCAGGGCAGTAAGAAATGTTGTCTTTTCAGACAGAGACAAACTTCAGCTCAGAAGTGGAGACAGCAAGTGTTCAGGGCGTGTGGAGGTGTGGCACAATGGCTCCTGGGGAACAGTGTGTGATGACTCCTGGGGCCTGGCAGAGGCCGAGGTGGTGTGTCAGCAACTGGGCTGTGGCCCTGCCCTGGATGCCCTGGGAAAGGCTGCATTTGGCCCTGGAAATGGAAGCATATGGCTGGATGATGTGGAATGCAGGGGCCAAGAGTCTTCCCTGTGGGCCTGTGCTAGGGCACCCTGGGGACAGAGCGACTGTAAGCATGAAGAGGATGCAGGTGTGAGGTGCTCAGGTGAGTGGCAGTGCCAGAGCCATGGGCTGGGCCTTCAGGAGTGTGTGGGTCCAAGAGTTTTCTAGACAATGTACTGTGCTCAGACGTGTCTTTAGAAATGTTGCACTTTGAGCTTCTGGAATTGGGGAAAGAACCATTTGTATTGGTGGTAGCCAACAAAAGTTCAACCAACACAGTATACTGAACCCATTTTCTTTCTCTTCCTTCTAGCTGAAAGGACAACAGTTTCCCCAACACATACAAGTAAGTAATTTTTATAGGCCATGCAATGAGTAGAATATCAGATTTTTAAGAACCTATATTATAGACTCTAAGTACTTCAGAGAAAATTGCAGTAAATCTGATATTCATGTGTTAGAAAGAGCCATATTTAGAAGTTTGTACCAGTCAGAGAATCCTCAGGGATCATCGGGATTCACTATACAGTAATCCCTTAGTGCCAGGCTCATAAGAGAGTTAGATAATCTCAGGTTGTCATCTGGGTTGTTTATGTTTTAGAGTTCAGTCAGATTCATTTTATCTGAAACAGACTTTATACTCTTCAATTTTAGGACAAGACCAGCACATTGTGGGTTTCTGGAATGTATGAATCTTTCTGTAGACTAAAGGACATTTTTCCTCCTAGGCACCAGTTCAGTTTCAGATCCTGTGCATAACCACTTCTCCTTACCTGAGATCCTCTGCATTGTCCTGGGAGTCCTTCTCTTCCTGGTGCTCATCACCCTGGGGATTCACCGGTGTAGATGGATAACTCAACTGAAAGGTGAGGTTGTGCATTATTGACTTGGAAAATAAGTAGAGGGCCTGCCAAACAGCTCAGTGGATTAAAATGCCTGTTTATACAGATGTTGGGGCTGGGAGTTTGATCCCCAGGCTTGCTGTGCTGGCCCTGCCCCTGGAGTGCTCTGAGACTGCATGTGTTGGCATATGCCTATAATCCCAGCACTTGGGAGGCTGTAAACAGGAGGATCACTAAGAGTCCAATCTCTGCAGTGAGACCCTGTACACGCTGTATACCCTGACCTAAATACAAAAAGAAAGAAAGAAAGAAGGAAGGAAGGAAGGAAAGAAAGAAAGAAAGAAGATAAAAAAGAAAGAAAGGAAAAAAAAGAAAAGAAGTGGAGCATCTTGAGCAAGTTTTGGTTTTCTCAAGAGTTCACACGTTTCAGTTTTTAACCCTCAATCTATTAATAAACCCCACTTATTAATGAAAAGACTTGATCCCTTGATACTAGAATGAAGGGAATAGTCTGCATATGATGGTGTCCTGTGAGCAGGATGTCATTTGAGATGGGGTGTAAATGAGGCATGGTGGGGAAAACTAGTTCTGTCCCAGCAGAGCACAGTAATAAAGTAAGTCACACTGGTGGCAGAGAGGGTCTCTGCCATGAAGAGTACTGGGAAACACAGAAGGCTTTTTTATTGTTAATTAAAAAGCTTGCAGAAGAGTCCCTGAATTCACACTTCTTTCTCCAGCCTCATCCACTGTTAAAGATGCAAATGAGGAAGCCTTGTACCAGGAGATAGAAAAGGAGGAGATTCTGTTGGACAGACTAGGTGGGTTTGATAATTTCCACTTTTATATGTCACATATAGTGCCTCCAAGAACCTAACATTTCCCTACAGGTCCTATTTCTCCACATTCCATCAAACCAAGCTATGGAACAAATTTTTCATACATGGGAATCTGGAGATTTAGAGAAATTAAGCTCAGCATAGTGCAATCTTCCTTGTAAAGCAGGAACTTCAAATCTTCTTTTGGAAATATGAAATTTCAAGAATTCTTTTGAACCATGACCTCTGGCTCCATGAGTATATGTGCAGATTATGTTTTTCTTCCTTGCAGAAAACATTTTAGATGAGCCTGAAAACAAGTTACCCTATGAGACAGGGGACAGTGAGGAGGATAGTGGAGACAAGGAATCTGTCTCAGGTAAGACAGAGAGATTTTTCAAAGGATAAATTTATGAAGAAAATGAATAAAATCTGCAGACTATTTTCTATGATTAGAATAATTAGCATTTCTTCTCTCCAATTTAAAGGAATTTGTTCACTCCAACCACTCTATGACCTAATTAAGTGAAATATCAAATTTTTTAGTATCCAAGATACTTGTATCTTGTTACAGAATACAACAAATGTAACAGTATAAATTCAAAGACCATAACTTTTAAAATAACATTTGAGATTGATTATTTATAAAAACTCATGGTGAGAAAGAACAGTGGAAAATATGGTTTTGACTTCAAGGTAGAGTGATAAATAAATCATTATTTGATTTATATGAATAAGCACTTAATCAGATCATAGTTATCAATAAATTGATTTGAAAATCTATGGAATACACTGAGTGGATTGTGCATATTCTAACCAGTTGAAGAGAGATTTTCTCCTCACAGGACATAAGACAAAATGTTCATCTTGGACTTTCTTCAAGTGGTAAAGATCGTCAACATTTAACATGAAGCAGATCTTTGAGGGTTCTGTGGAAATGGGATCTGAAGGTCAACAGGGAATTAGGTGGACAGAAATCCAAACCTTATGGAGTTCAATTTGGAGGACCTCATACCTGTGAGCAAAAAAGCCAAGACTATCTTGCTAATTTCAATTTCATGTCCCTCACTCCTCAGAGTATGGATATAATTCTGGCTTCTCTTAGCACAGAGTGAATCTTTAAGTTATTGACTCATACTTATCATGACTTTCATCTATGTTGCATATATCTTAAAGTTAGTACCCAAATCTCACAATCTAATATTTTTGTTGTCTACTATGAGATGCCTCCTGATATTTTAGAATATTCTGCATTTATGTTCTCAAAGTAAATGAAAGAATGCATGTATCTTTACAGCAGCTTTGCAATACTACTTACATTTCTTTCATTAGAATTTCTACATCTGTAGATACATAAGAAAGCAAGTAGTCCAACAAATATTTGCTTTTCCACTTTATCCTTGTCTACTTCCAAACCTTGTAGGTAAACATGTAGATGCCTCAGGAAATAGTTATGATGATGTTGAAGAGTTACCTGCTCCTGATATTTCTTCTACCTCTGGGATGGGTAAGATGAATATTTTCCCAGAAGAGGAAAGTAGTGATGGGTGTTCTCGTGAAGGTGAGTATACAGCACTGCTTCAGTTCTCTAATTTTACTGTAATGGAAAACTGAAGTTTGGATCAAACGATTATTGTTTTTCATTTACCTTAAGAATTCAGGCAACTTTCTGTAATTAAAGAATGTTAATTTCTCTGCTATTCCAAGATTTAGTTTTATTTTACCTATCCCAAATCTTCTGATCTCCATGAGTGTTCACTATTCATTGTATGTAAATAGCCCTTTATAACTTATAGGCCCATTGTTATTTTTTAATGCTAAGATTTATATATTTATTTATTTATCTATTTATTTTTGTGGAACTGGGGATCAAACTCAGGCTCTTGCGCTTGCCAAGCAAGAGCTTATTCTACTGAGCCATTGTTATTTTGATCACATTTTTCGCATCCCATACTGACAATAAACGTGAGAGTTCTAGCCACTCATGATAAGAAATTTGGAAAGCATTATATATGTTCAAGTGGCATCCACTTCAATATAAAGGCTTGCAGTTTATCATTCTTAATAGCTGAATAATACTCCATTGTGTAAAAATACCACATCTTTTTCAACTATTATTCAGGTGATGGGCATCTTGGTTGTTTCCAAGATTTGGCTATCACAAATTGGGCTGCTATAAACATAGGGATACATATATCACTATGATATGATGTTTTCAGATCCTCTGAGAAAATTCCCAGTAGAGGAATAGCTGGTTTAAAGGGGATTTCCAATCCAACTTTTCTAAGGAGTCTCCATACTGATTTCCATAATGGTTGCACTAGTCTACATTCCCACCAGCAGAGGAGAAGGGTTCCTTTTTCCCCACAGCCTCTCCAACATTTACTGTTGGGTGATTTCTTTATGATAACCATTCTTTCTGTGGTGAGATGACATCTCAATAGAGAGTGAGGTTAAGTTTAACAGCCTAAGTTGTACGGTAATAACAATAAGCTTGTCTTCTTGATTGTTAACAACCTAAGTTTGCAGACCAAAATTAGATGAAAAGGAGGGCTGCAAGGAAAGCCAACATTTTGGCCCTAGCCTTTCAAGGTCAATTAAGACTCAGGATGTATGAGAACCTGTATTGTAATGTCATGTAAAGCGGCAGTGTCCCAAATTTTCTGATCAAGATTATGGGGCCAAAGAGGAAAGTGATCGATGATGTAGAGTGTGGCTAAGGAGAGACCCATGGGGAGAAAACATTCTCTCAGGCTTTCACAGAAAGCACATTGGCCAAGTAATGGCCATGACTCATCCACATGATTGACACTGACAAACAATCTGAGGTACAGGATCTCAGGATAAATCCTGAGGGGATTTCACTAAACTTTTCAGACCCAAAAGTTACAACTCTTGTTGCATAGGTCCTGTTTTTCCTTGGTCTTAACTATCCAGCAGAAACATATAAAAACGAAATATAAGAAGCAAAGCCATGCTGTTATGTTGAGCTGTAGGGGACTCAGGTCAACAATTGACATTGCCAGTGAAGCGAAAGACCCAATACTATTATGGACTACTGAACTCTTTCAGAATATTTTGCTGAGTTAACACACGTATAATATTCAAATAATGGAACTCAACAAAAAAAAGTGTATACAGATGAATATCCATTTTGTATTTGTGTATTCATAGTGGTTAGGATAGATATATAGTTACATTCTCTTAATGAATAGAGTGATTTGTTCTAATTGTGTTTGTAGATAGGCTATCATGTCCACATCTTATACAGCAATTAACCACTGGGAGGAATGTTTGCAATGTGTTAATTATTGAAAGTGTCCTACTAATTTGATTTGAAACTGTCTCATTGCTATTTGTTTATCAATAAAATTATGGAAAAAATGTATATCTATATCTATATATATGATTTATTATCTATAAAAGCACTCAATATTAGATAATGCTTTGATTGAATGATGGAATTTGACATTGCCCACTCTGTCTGTGTGTGTGTGTGTGTGTGTGTGTGTGTTTTATGAGACAGAGTTTTGCTATGCAATTCAGGCTGGCCTGGAACTCTCAGAAATCCTCCTGTCTTAGCCTCATGAGTACTGGGATTACAGGCTTGTGTCAGCACACCCTACAAGATGGGCCACTATTAATGCAGAATCTTCAACACATGTTATTGGAGTAAGAAGTTTTCATCATGAGTAGAAAAAAATAATTTTCTGTCATTGTTTCAACAGAAAATCGGTTATCATTCTCAATAGTAGGCTTTATGCTCATCATGGGCATATAGTCTATAAGGAGCAGAAGACTGGAGTTACTTTGAGTTATTGTCTATTTTTATCAGGCAAAGGTCTGAAGCATAATAAATAACTTAACGTCTAGTATGATTTGTTACTGTGAGGTATTGAGGAATCATGTGAGGTTCTCTGCTGTCTATAGTCTTTTTATCTTCTTTGTTATAGGTTCTGGCTTTGTACTTCAGACTCATATTAAATTCACTTCTCCTGAGTCAGCCTCCCAAGTTCTAGAATTATAGTTGTACAGCACCATGTCCAGGTTGCTCCATTTAGTCTTAAGAAATCATACTAACCTGGTGTGTAAGAAAGCATTCATGTCTCTTTCCTACACCTTTCCATTATTGGTTTGTCTCCTTTCCAACATTGTTTAGATCAAGACAAGGTACTGAATAGGGAAGATGAAATATAAGATAGCACAGTCCAGTCTTTCAGACAAGTTCAAAAAATTAAACATACTCTGTAGCCTTTCTTTTTTTCTCACTGTAGCCTTTCTAAATTAGGCTTTACTCCTTTTAAGATAACTCAGATTATTATTCTATGAAAACTGAAACCAAGATTCTCTTTGCTTTTTCAGGCATCTCTCTTCATCATCCCAGAGAAGATTCTAACACCAAGATGGAAGACAATGCCTCCCCATTAGTGTTTAGATCAGAAGATACTGGTTATGATGATATTGAACTTATCACCATGTAATGCCATTTTTGAAGTAATCAAGCCTGCAGAGAACTTTTCCCTGATATTGGCTACCAAAATATGATATATGTATCTTCATTATTGTCACATTTTATATGTACCAATGACAAAAGAAAATTGTTCCTAATAAATATTCTATTTGGAAGACAAGTATTCTCACAAATTGTAGATACATTCCTTCCCAAGTGACCATTAAAATTTCATTTTCAAATGTAATCTTTCCTGAAGTGGGATCTCAATTGCATCATTAGTACCATCCCTACAGACTACACTCTTGCCTTCTTTTAGGTGTAGAGAAGTTCACCGTTTTCTTGTATGCCATCTATCTCTGAAATACAGTCATAAACTAAGTACCTGCTATTAAGAAGATGAACTCAAATGCCTAACAGAATATTGCAAAATATTCCACCCACCTTGCCTTAAATTTTGGAAGCATCAATCAAATCAAATGAAGTGAATCAGCTGAAAGAAAAATGAGTTGAGTTTTTAAATTTTATTCAAATTTTATGTGATGTAAATAGCTTAAATGTAATACTTTCTGACAGTATCTTTTGCTCCAATGGTCTATGTATTGTATGTGTTTTATTTGAAAACTAAATTTATTCCCACAATTGGCACTACTGATTATTCATCAAATTTCATGATTTTCTATCGTTTCTCAGTTTGTCTTCTCTATTCTTTTGTCTTTCTGCACTTATTTAGGCACCTAACATCTCAAAGCTCCCTAACTTCAGAAGAATTCATCGTCACCTATTATCCTCACATGTCCCATGTACTAGTGTTGTGGAGGGGACACAAGACAAACTCTGTAATTTTGCTGTCTTATTATTATCCATAATAAAGTCTTAAAATTTCAGTTAGTTGCATGCCAGCATAGTGATTGTTCACTGAAAAATGAAGAAGAATATGACAAGCCATAACTCAGTATGATTTTACTTATGATTCTAGGTTTCAGACTTCAGATCTGGAACTTCTAGAAAAATGTGGTCCTCAGGATAGATTGAGCAGTTTCACAGAAGATGTTAGACCAGATGTTACATGTCTCATCATCTACTGAGAATCACAAAATGCCATTCTTGCACTTTAGTTTTTCTTTCTGTTATGCAAACAAACACACACCACTGGTAATTCATTTTAGGAGTTGTTATTATTCAAAACTAGGTTTCTTTAGTCTTTGTTTTTAACCCTATTTCAGAGAAAAGGCAGACTATACTGTAGGCATGAAAGCTCTTCATAAATTTGGAAAGGAATGATACTTTTCATTCTACATATAAAAGATGCCATGAAAGAGGTTAATCGACAAACCTAATTGTGCTTCAAATAAATGATAAATTATAAAATGAACTTCTGCTTCTGAGTACAATTTAAAACTTCTGAAAATTACACACAAAAAATTAAAGCTATTAGACACAACACATTGACTATTGTTGTTTTGTTAAGATAATATAGCTTTTTTAATCCCAAGAGAATTCCCCAACTCAGAGTATGGGCTAATAGTTTATAATCTAGGCTGTAGTATACAAAGGAATGCTATTCAGACAGAGAAGCGAGCTTCCTTTGGGGGATATCTTGCAGTGGTAAGGACAAAACTGGAGAATCTCACAGGACATATTTCTTTCCAACACAGAAACTGTGAAGTCCAAAAGGCTTAAGATCTACTTCAAAGATCTTGGAATGAAGACAAGATATTAATTTACTTTCTTAGCCAGGATGCTATGCAAGTTCTTAGGTCAGTATCTGAAAGTCCGAGTCACAGAAAAATAGCAATCAAATATACACTGATTGTACAGAACTGCATTCAAGACTCATTCTAGATCTGTACTACAATGAATTGAGTAATTTTGTAATTGGTGTACTGTCTATTACCTACTCTACATTACAAAAGTTAATCCTTTCAGATAATACATCTCAAATCATTGTTATATATAATTTCTAGCATTTAATAATATTTATTTGTAATATGTGTTAAATAATAAAATCACAGAGCCCTCCACAACAACGCATGGCAGGAGGGCTCTAGTCATTCTGCCTGGGAATCTGGACATGGAAGTCTACTGCAGTGTCAGTCTCTATGAGGTTTCCTCAGAAGTGAAACACAGGTCATGCAACAAATTCTAATGTTGGCCAAGATGACAGAAAGAGAAACAGTCTCTCTGAGAATAGCCATTCAGACAATGAAGTAAAGTTACATAGGGAAGACAAGAAGGGGAAAAGTGGGCCCCTTGGACCCAGGAGGATATGAAGTATAAATGGAAGCCTATAGAGAGAGTGAAGAGAGATACTTCAATGAATAAGAAACAGATAGCTGGTGGTACTTTCTTCCTGAGACTGGATTCAGTGCACAAGAGGAATGACTCAGACCTGTTGACACATTGTGAAAGTTGGTGATCACAGATGCCCCTATAGAGAGATGCAGCAGTGGAGCGAAGCAGCAGACATGAAGCACTACCCCATATGGAGGTGAGTGCAGAGGGTTCTGTTCTCACACATGAAAGAGTGAGCAATCTCTTACCACAAGTTGTCTACCACTGACAGTAGAGACAAATCTGCTTTTGTTCTTTCTTTTCTCTCTCTGTTTCTATCTTTTTTTCTGTCTGTCTCTCTTTTCTTTCTGTCTCTCTGTCTTTGTTTCTCTTTCTCTGTTTTTTCTTTTCTTTTTTGTTGCTGTTGTGGCATTTTTGTTTCTTTGTTTTCTATTTTGTTTTTTTCTTCTTCATTGTTTTGATATGAGTGTGAATGTGTTTTCTAGCCTTTATTGGTTGTGTTTCTCTTCCATTCTTTTTTCTCTTCCTTCTCTCTTTCCCTCTAGTCCTCTGCACCTGTTTCTCAAAGTTAACATGATCTCTCTTCATCCTCCAGCCTTCTTTCTAATCTCTTCATTTTCTTCCACTTCTTTATTTTCTCCATAACCCACTCAAAATTTTAATGCCTGAGGACAAAATTGACATATTAAGGACTTGCATACTGTATACAATTATCTTTTTTCTTTTAGATTTTGTTAAATTAATGAAAAACTAGCTCATATAATAATAGGTAGAAAATTAATGGTTAGCTCAATTTGCTGGACCAGGGAGAAGCTCAGGGGTATAATCACCTACTTGGCATGTGCAAGGTGCTGAGATAGATTCCTGGTACTGCAAAAAGTAAAAACGACAAGCAAACAAAAAAGAAAGCCCAAGTTCAATTTGCTATTTACTAGGCTGTGTTTGATGTTATTGCCTTAAACAATGCTCTAATTATACTTGTTCTAAACTACTGTTCTTCCTGGTATTCTAAGAATGTGAATGACAATCACAGAAATGGTCACAGAAAATATTTTGGTAAGATGCCAAAGAACCACAGGCTGGGCCAAATAGGCAGCAACTTTCATCCCCAACAAATTGAAGAACTAGGATCTTGTAATAAACTCAAAAATCCAAAAACCAGTTGTACCTAGAAGATACCTCAGAAAAAATAGTCATTTTCTGAGGGTTCCAAGTACTAGATATAAAGCAGCACATCATAGGAAATTTACAAACATGGCCCCAGGAATTAAACCAATAAAAAATGAAAAGAAAACGAGAAGACAATTAAACAAGAGGTAACACCAGAAATCCATTTTATCAAAGGCAAATCAAGGGGGTAATGAGGTGGGACAGTCTGAAAGTCATCCACTTGGCCTCTCTGAAGTGGTAATAACAAAGCAATTGAATGAAGCTCTAAAAAGGAAATCTGAAATAGCTTGATACTAAGTCAGCACTTAAAAATCACTAACCTTCCTGTACATGAATGACAACCTCACTGAGAGAGAAATTAGGAAACAATACTTTTTTCCCAATAGCATCCAAAAATGTGAAATACCCAGGAATCAACCTAACAATGGATGTAAAAGACCTCTATGTCGAAAACTACAGTATTCTGAAAAAGATGATTAAAGCAGATAACAGAAAATAGAAAGATATTCCTTGCCCTTGAGTAGAAAGAACAAATATAGTGAAAAGTGCCATACATCCAAAGATGTTATACTGATTTAATGCATTTTCAATCAAAATTCCAACAGTATCACTAACAAAATTAGAGAAAACCAACCTGAAATTTATTTGAAAAGAAAAATGACTTAGAATATCAAAGACAATTCTGGGCAACAAAGTTAAGGGAGACAGCATCACAATCCCTGACTAGAAATGACACTATAAGGCTACTTTGATAAAGCAATGTGAGACTGGCAAAAAAGACACAAAGATCAGATCAGAATAGATCAGAATATGAAAAAAACAACCAGAAATTCTCAGCAAGCTTATCTTTGACTAAGATGCCAAACACATTCACTGGAATGAAGATAACCTCTTTAGTTGAAAAGCTGGCTCTGCACATACCAAAGAGTAAAGGTGGACACATATCTTTTGCTAAGCCCTAAATTAAATTTGAAAGGGATCAAAGATCTAAATATTAAGACAGAAACAAAGATTCTTTGGGAAATACACTAGATAAAACTCTTGAAGACATTGATGTAGGCAAAGACATTATGAATAAAGCCCTGGTGGCACAGGAACTGTCATAAAAAGTAAACAACTTGAATCTCATAAAAAGTCTTTTACCCAGCAAGAGAAACCAGAAAAAGAAGAAAGAGACAACCCACAATATAGGGAAAACATTTGTCAGCTGTTCCTCAACAAAGGATTACTATTTTTTCTCATTAACTTTATTGAAAATCAATAATTATATTGCATATTAAAAATTGTAGATAAGTATTGAAATGTGAAATATAAAAGATGTAGACAAAGTGAATGTTAGAGAAATATTTCTGAAATGAATACATAGCATGAGATTAATAATAGATTGCACATTGTAGACAAATTTTTACAGGCATATGAATATAACAAAAATTGTCCAAAATAAAAATCAATAAGAAAGAATTTACAGATCAGTCACTCTGTGCCAAAATAAGAAACTTATATTCATATAATTAGAATTCTCAAGGCAGAAAGTGTTAGGCAATAAATATTTACAGATTTAAAATTTCTGAATTTAGATGAAACAATAATACCACATTTCCAAGAAAAATGA